AGTGTGTGTGTGGAGACAGATCAGATACTGTAATCTCTGACACTAAAAGCTTTTTATTTATCTCTCGCTCACTCACTCACTCATACGTTCACAGTGTTCATCAAACGTTACAATTGAGTTCAGATTCCCTGGCACAGCTTAACACGATCACCTTTTTCTCTCACACACTCAAACACGTGCGAACCGTATTTTTCATCTGAGAAACTGCCAGCATGCGCTTCAAACCAAACCACTGGCCATTGAACTAATTCTATCATCCAGTTTATCTTCATTCGGAACTGTAGCTCTGTTCCAAATCCTAGTGAGCTGTCTACCTAGACAGCATGTTAAAGCATCATTATGCAGACACCTTTTCGCCCAAATCTAAGGCACTGTTGCATATATATCTTCAAAGAGAAACCGATCCCAAAACGCTTTGCAACAAGCTCAGTGGAAAAGCTGATCTATGGCCCATGCAGTTGAGAAGAGCATTGATTATAAATATGTTTTCCTAAAGATACCATTAAGTATTCAGCCTAATTAGCTATTTTACCCAGTGTTTGTGTATGGTATGTGTTTTTGTGATTATTAGAGGCTGTTAGCTTAGCAATATGCTAACGTCAGACTGTATTGAAATCAATTGAAAGTCGAGACAAATCTGCCAGAGAAGAACTTTGCAACAGATAAATATTGTTTTATAACCCTAATTAGTTTAAGGCACTTGGTTTGCTCAAATTAATTAACTTTTGGGGTTTTACTGTGAAGGCTACTTATTTTACATACTGCTTTTATTTGTTTTACCTACTATACAGTAAGTATATTCAGACATGGGAAAGAGATCATGGTTTGGCTTGTTAGCATCGTCCAGTCAGCCATCAAAAAAAAAAAAATTCTTACTGAAATTATTAAGTTTGTATAATTATAATATGTATTTATAGAATTATTATTTCAAATATAATTATAAAATTTTAATAGGCTATTTTAATTTTTTTGCACATGCACAACATACGGTTTAACAGGTTGAGGTCAATAAGATTTTTTTATTTTCTTTTCTTTTTTTACAAGAAAGTATTATTCAGCTTTGAAAAGGCTTTTATTTATTGTTACAAAAATATCGAGCAGCACAACTGATTTCTGAAGATCATGTGACACTGAAGACTGGAGTAATGATGCTGAAAATACAGCTTTGATCACAATAAATTCTACAAGAAAGTATTATTCAGCTTTTAAAAGGCTTTTATTTATTGTTACAAAAATATCGAGCAGCACAAATGATTTCTGAAGATCATGTGACACTGAAGACTGGAGTAATGATGCTGAAAATACAGCTTTGATCACAGCAATAAATTATGTTTTAACAAATATTCACATAGAAAAGAGTTATTTTAAATTGTACAAATATTTCACAATATTACTGTTTTTACTATTTTGATCAAACAAATCCAGCCTTGATGAGAGACTTATTTCAAAAACATTAAAATATCTTTCCGAACTCAAACTTCAGAATAGTAGTGTATATATACCTAATATTTCAGAACATAATTTAGGACGTTTTGCCAGTGCCCGATTCTTTTCTAGGAGAGCTCTATAAAGCATAACATAGACTGTGCATCTTCTTGTGGTGCCATCAGCTATAGCATTTTCCATTGAGATGAATGTGAAAGCTTTCTCCAGATATTACAGACCTCCTTATTGGAGAAGCACAATTTGTATGTAGAGCACTTCAAATCAGTCACTTATGAGGAGTCACTCAGTTAAGATGCTGTCTGTGTAGGTGGTAGATAGCAAGCAAGTGCAACTTTATACACACATAGTTGACTCATTCACCTACATCCAGGGCAACACTGACATAACATAAATGCACGGTGACTGTGGTTACCGACTCTTATCTGGGAGGATCAATTGATTAGGCAATAAATCAGTCAACCCGTGGCCTAGGTTTCCCCCGCACCGAGCGGTTTCGGAGAGTCAGCCCAGCCCTGCAGCCAAAGAAGCGCGGCAGGTGGGTGCCGTGAGTGAACAGGAAGGGCTGGGCTACAGGTGAGAGGCAAAGACAAAGCGGCAGACTCGAGGAGGAGGCAGAGGCAGCCAGAAAGAGAGAGAAACAGGAATGCAGAAACTCCCTAGGCAGCGGCGCAATCCTCTGGAGAGAGAAAAAAGGAATTTTTATGTGCTGCAGGTGATCAGGACTCGACGAGCAGAGAGAAAGAGAGAAAGAGAGAAAGAGAGGGGGTGCTGGACAAGAAAAACGGAGAAAGACAATGACGACGAGCAGCGGCACACCGCATGAGAACGGAGGGAGCGATAAAGACTCACTAAATAGGCCACTGCTGATAAACTGATGACAGACGAGTGATTTACTGTGTGATTGGCAGCGGAGACTCGAGCTCTGCTGCACAGATGACAGAAAGATCCAGGCAGACGAGATGGCACGAGATGAGAGGGGCCTTTTAAACTAAAACAAATAAAACTACTTTACAGTCGCACAGATACATAAACAGTCTTTCTCTCACACACACACACACACACACACACACACACTCGCACTGATTCAGAGAAGTGACACGTGATGACACACACACACACACACACACACACACACTGGCGCACAATGCGGCCTTTGTTGCCTGGTCAATGTGTGGTCATCCATTTAGGGGCCGAAGCCGACTGGACTCTGCATTACACATTTCAGCCATGTGTTTGTGTGTGTGTGTGTGTGTGTGAGAGAGAGTGAGCTCCCCCTCATCAAACC